AGAGAAGGCTCCAGCCCTGCTCCTCACCCCTCCCCCCCGCCTCCTCTTCCCCTGTGAGAGCCAGTCACCAGCGCAGGCTGCTCCTGATGCCCCTTCCCCTCACTCCAGGTTTCACTGCACACGTGAGGGGAGGGAGGAGGTGCAGAGCATCCTGGTCAGAATTTCAATGCGTGCGGTGGGGAGACACTGACTCACCTGGGGCTGCCCGGGTGGTGGGGCCGGGGGCTGCGCTCATCTCTGGGTGCAGGGAGCGCCCCCCATGCAGTCACTGGTTCGACCCCTCCTGTCCGCACTCAGCCCCGCAGCGCAGGGGTGGGATGGGGTGAATGACATCATGTCCGTGTATGGGACTGCCTGTCTCTGGCTGGTCCCTGTTACGTGTGAGGCGTCTGCACCCGGCTTGCAGAGAGAGGCAGAGGAAATGGCTTTGTGCTCTGCTCCCCCAGCACAGAGCCACTTGCTCTGCCTCTCTCCTCGAGCCAGTCTGGCGAGGGAGGTCACCCCCACTCCACTAGGAGAACAGCAGCGCAGTGACACACTGGTAAGCCTCCGCCTCGTGCCAAAGCACTGCACCCCAATCTCCCACACTACTTTCCTATGCCAAGATCTCACACCCCTAGCTTGCTCCTGCACTCTTTCTCCTGGCCAGACTCCCTACCCCATGCCCCCTTTTAATATACGTTACAGCTAGGTTTTTTAGTTTGTACTGGTGGTGTATCCGCACATTAGCTCGATATTGGCACTGCATACAACAAAATTCAATCCACACAAGGATGGACAAAAATAGAGGGACCATTGGTCTATGCTCAAGTTATGCCATTTAATGATCCTTCCTTTTGTTCAGTTTAAAATGTGTGGAGGTGGTGGAAATGCAGGTAATGCTGATCAGGCTTTAGCAGCAGAAGCTGTTACACTTGAACCTCTTTTAATCCGGTACCCTTGGGAAATAGGCTAGGCCGGATTGTGGAATTTTCCAGCCCATGGTGTTTGGCATAATGAAGGGTGCTGGGAGTGGAGGTGCGGGGTCTGGCAGGGCCTCCAGATCAGTGCTTCTCTGTCATTCACCCTCCCCCATCCTGCTGTGGGTCAGGGGAAGCAGCAGCACACAGAGCAGCTTCCTTCTCCCCTCCCAGGGTCCGAACTACGGGTGTTCCCAGATCGCGGAAACCTGGATTACTGAGATTCAGGTGTATCGTAGGTGAACAAATTGGGGAGGAGAATCAGGGTGGTCGGTAAGGGCTTGTCATCACTACACGGTGAATGGACACTGTAGTGATCCACCCACCAGGGGTCGATTTATCGTGTCTGCTTATCTTAGATCGGGGGAGAGGGAGGAGAATAGCATAGTGTAGACGAGCCTAATACAAGGACGAGCTGTATGATATTAATGCTTATGCTACTAGAAAATGAGAACTTTTTAAAAAACAGAATGCATGAGGTTCTTCTAGTAATTAATATTTAAAAAGAAATTCAGCATAAGAGCTCCGGAAATGTTGACGTTTTTTAAAGCACTTAGCAGCTTTCAGTTGTTAACAGATTTCTTTAAATATGGCTGGTGTGGTATCAAAGAAGTGGTGGGATTTCCAATGCCTGTCAGGTATCAGTGTTAATACTGTTTTAAATTTCTGTTGTGCTAGTGTCTTGGAGCCTGTTACAAACCAGGGTTTGCCAAGTGCTGTTTCAAACATCAAACGTGCCCCAAAATGCTCATGAATAAAAGCCAATAGCCAGTTTTGCTTTTTAACTAAATATGAAATTCTGTTTTCCCTGAAACCAACCACAGTGTATTTCCCTTTTTGTAGAAAATTCCATTCTGGAAGACAAGAAAACTGAAGAGGTGGTGGATGAGGAATGTGAACTGGTGGTGACGTTCTGTAAACAAGGGAAAGTGATGCCTCATGCAAGATATGACTGTATGACACACCCGTTTGAGTATGTTCATTAGTATAATGGGTAACATGGGGTTTCTCTCTTTTAGGGAGTGTTACTAGATCGATTGTTGATGTTTTGTGTGCATTTAATTTGTTCTAAACTTCAGTAGAGAAGTCTGAAAAAGTCCAGTATCAATGATATCTTTTTTTATGGTTAGAACATGTAAATAATATGATTGTAATCAGGGCACAAAACAAGGCCTCAACTTTCCCGCGGGGCCTCACGCTGTTCTAAACTACCATTCTTTGAATACTTTTGGAGATTCTTGGTTCTCATCTTCAAACTGGCACATTTTAGGGCTATTTAAACTTGCTGATTTTTTTCAGTTTTGAAACTGACAAGATTAAGTTTTATTGGTGTAAGTTTAATACAGGCCTTCCTCTCTCTAAGTCCAAGATACATTCCAAAAACCTTGGGCTTACAGCAAAACAACTTAAAGTGGGGATTTTTTTCCTGCAGCTGACTTCCATTTGTGCAAATTGGGGAAGGAGGGGGTTTGCGCGACTTAAGAGCGGGGAATGGGAGGACTTGTAACGCATCAGTTCCTGCAAGCATCAATGACTATAGTATGGAACGGATGTATACCAGGGTGACTTATAGCTACAGGATATCTCCACTTATTGTGTTAAATAACAGGGTTTTAATATTCAAAACTATTGTCACAAAGTAGAAGAGGAACAGAACATTTATTTAGCATATACCATAATTAATGTTCTGCTTTATTTAACATACAGGCGAGCAGAATGTGAAACGTGTTCACCCCTTGCGAACAATGCCAATATCTGTGATCAGTGTTACTGCTACATTTGTGATAAGCTGGCGTCTGAGGTAAGGAAGAACTTGAGGTATAGTTAGGAAACACAGCCTTTTGAGTTGTCCACAGTGAGCTGTGTAGTTGGAACCACTTATACAGGGTATGCTTAAAACAATAAATATCATAACCTTCACTACTTTAACATAATACCCTAAACATTAGTAATCGTCTGTTTCTTAATACCACTAAAACAACTTACTAGAAGCAGGTTTTGCCAACTTGTGGTGTAGCTCTTGTTTGCTTTGCATTATGGTTTCTGTCACGTCTGATTCCTTCTTTTTACTAATTAGCTCAACATTCAGTTTTGAACATGGAGCCAAGAAAATGGTTCATGAGCGCAAAAGTGGCTTAAAATAGTTTAAAACCTGCAAAGGTTAGTGGGGCCCCTCTAACCTTTGCAGGTTTTAAACTATTTGCCTGTCATCCAAGGATGACTGTACTTTACAGATACACTTGAACCTCTTTAACCTGGCAACCCTCGAAAACTAGGTTTGCTGGATTAAAGATTTTGTTGAGCCAGTTAAGGTGGTTGGGGTAGGACACTTCTCTGGTGCTCTGTATCTCCTGCTGCTTCCAGGTACCATCCAACAGAGCGCTGTTCGCTTCACTGTGCTGCTGTTCTCCTCCCTGCAGGGGAGAGAAAGCAGCAGTGCCCAGAGCCACTTGCAGGGCCCATAGCACAAGTGTTCCTGCATTAGGGACACCCAAAGTGTAGCGGTGATAGTGTACCAAAAGCCTCACAACAGTATAAAGGCTTCAGGTTTCTAAGATTCAGTTCTCACTCTTTCTAGATTAATCTGCTTTTCATGTTCCTCTCGTAATAGTATTTCCAATTGTTGATTGGTATGTATGCACCATTGTCTTACATTTGGATTTGGCGTATCTTGGGAACAATAGACTGAAAGAAACATACTGAAGAGTAAATGAAACTCAAGTCTCCTTACTCACAGCCAGTCAGACCATGGCTGTTTTTGTATTTTACTCTAGGTCTGGCGATGTGTGACAAGCACTACTTTATAATTTTGACATAGATTAATCAAGGAGGCGTTTAGTATAGATTAGGTCGTCATGGGCACAGGTGTGGTACTCTACAATTTGCACATGGATATGCAATAGCTCAGTATAGAAACACAGCAATATGGATACAATACTGATCTCGCTAAGCAAGCGATCATAACTAACACAGAAGTTAGTTAACTTGAATGCAGCTTTTCCTCTTCCTTATTTTCCCCCACACTTATAAAACAGTGCCAGGACTGGACAGCCCCTTCTCATTGCCACTGCAATGCACATAACAAAAGCACATTCTGGAAAGATCAACGTGGTCTGGCCTTAGCTGGTGTTCTTGTGATGTTCAACTTGGAGCTCACGGACATAGATGCAGACCTTCGCCATGGTGGTAAGCATTATGCTCTTGTGCTGTCCCAGAATCAGCAAAGTCTATTATGAGATATTTATGAAAAAAAGCATTTTTCAACACTTTTCCTCCTCCAACCCTCAGGAAGTCTTCTGATAAAATTTGTCCATGAACTTTCAGTGGAATATAACAAATACCTGGCTGGCGAAAGAGTGCCTCCCAATTCATCTGAATGTTTCTGTCATCCAAAACGGGGATCCGGGCAATGTAATACCTGCAGACAGCACCATATGGAGGTTCTATACAGGTAACACTGATGAGAGTTCAGTGGATTTGCTAGGAATGTCTTTTGATTCACAGGAATTTACTTTCTGGTGGTTAGGGTTGAGTTAGACTCATGACAGCCTAAGGTTAATAACTAGAACCATGCAGTGGAAAACTCACTTCTTTCCTCCTTACTGTATGTTCCACTGGCTAATTGGACCAGACCAAGATTGAATTCAAACAAACCCCTAAACTTCAGTGTCTGTCCTTGTGTGGTTAGAGGAGGAGACGAGTTAGTCTGTAATAGAAAAAATTTAAACAACAAATAGTCTAATAGCACTTTAAAGACTAACAAAACACATAGATGACATCATGAGCTTTCATGGGTGCAACCCACTTCTTCAGATGACTGGAGTGAACTTCTAATACTCCATTCACCTGAAGAAGTGGGTTGTGTCCACGAAAGCTCATGACACATCTACATGTTTTGTCTTTAAGGTGCTACTAGTCTATTGGTTGTTTTTTAAGTTTTTCCAGATATTTAACAGTTTTTCCTCCTTTCTTATAATTTGTGGAAACTTACAACTAAATTATTTTTTCTGACTAGATTCTTTTTTTCTTGGCATTTGGACCCAATTTCAGTCCCAATATGTCCCTTTAAAATATTCCTGTTCATTTGGTGACTTATGTCTTTCCCTTGAAAGAATCTGAAGTTAGGTGACAAGTCTGTTTAATTGCTATCTATAGCCTTTTGTGTTAATGCTTTTCATGCTGACAAACCAGTCCAGCAGAAATAATTCACCATTCACTCCTTTCATTCTCCTAGGTATTCTGGCATTTTTGAACTTGTAACAACATTTATAAATCAGGCAGAAAAAGAGAATCCTAAAGCTGCTGCTATCATGCTCCTGGGAGCAGCCAAAGAAATAACACTTCATAAGGACCCTGTTCAGTAAGTATCCCAACTCACCATCCAATCCCGAACCTCCTTGGCTACAGAAGGCTGTTGTCGCCAGATGATTTAGAACTGAATAGTGGCAGATCTTAAAATAAATTTTTAAAACAAAAGGGGAGAGATGTTGGAAATCCCCCAAACAAAAATTGCAGCTTCTACTATCTGGGCTCAGTTTGTGGCCTGCTGCAAACTACTTTTATGAGCTTGGACAAGTCACTCCACTTTTCTGCCTCAGGGTTTGTCTACACTGCCAAATTCAGGACAAATCTTTTGTCATTCACAGGTGCTTAAAAAAGCCCCCCATAAAGATAAAAGCCTTGCAAGCAGCAGTGTAAATGGCTTGTCAAGAGCAGCATTCTCCAGTAGACAACTCCAACCCTGCTCGTAGGGACTGGAAATATTGGCAAAGGTGCCAATAAATAGTGTTTACACTGCCCAGTGTTTAGCAACGCGGCTGTATCGACATAGCCATGTCGCTAAAAACTGCGCAGTGTATACAAGGCCTCGGTTCCCATCTTTAAAATGGGTATTTTTCCATCTCTGTCTTATAAGCGCTAAACTAATACCTTTGTCTTAGGAACGTGCAGAATCTTGGTCATGCTGCATCTTTGAGGGTGGCTGTACCTCGCCTTATGGAAAGGTAAGACCTCAGTTAAAGTCAGTGGAATGCTGTTGGCTGCAAATTTTCTCCTGTTGTTACAAAGTATGTTAACATGTCCAATCCACAAAGGCCACCTTCAGCTACTAAAGGATTTACAATAGCTTTGGTGCTTGAAATCTAAAATATTTTGGTGTAGATTCTTTAACTATATAGCTCTCACACTAAGAATTTTATATTATGTAAACCAAGATAATCCGTATTTACTTCTCTGCTAAATTTCTTCTAAAGCCTAAGGAATGGGTTTTTCTGTTTAGCGGCTTCCACTTGAGACAGAATTTTTGGATACACTTGATCAAAAGCCACAAAGATAAGAACTGATTTTCAGGATGACTTAAATCCTATCTCTCCCACTAATTCTCTAGTTTAAACCAATGGCCAGGTGCAGCCTACGTCTGTCCTCGTTTTAAATTATTGCTTTTTTACATAAAGGAAATAATTCTTTACATTATCACTTAAATTGTATACTGTATGTGACTGGGCAGTATCTTGTTCTGTCTCTGCATAGCACCTAACATAATAGGGTCCTAGTTGTGTCTTCAAGAGCATACCAGTGTGATTTTGAAAGAACATGAAATAGGGTTTTTCTGTTTAGCGGCTTCCACTTGAGACAGAATTTTTGGATACACTTGATTTCACTGTTTCAGTGTTGTTTGCACTACCACTCTTGGGGTATGTCCAGACTGCATCTCTCTAATCTGCATCCCTCTGCCGACAGGGAAGTCGACATTGCAGATGAAGCGGGGATTTTAATATCCCGTGCCTAATTTGCATTAAAATGGCCGTCGCGTTTTGCCGACTCAGCACGTTGTCGGCAAAAAGTGGCAGTCTAGAGGGGGATCTGTCGAGAAAGAACGCCTTTTTCGACAGATCCGTTATGCCTCCGGAGGCTTTCTTTCTCGACAAATCCCCTTCTAGATTGCCACTTTTTGCCGACAGAGTGCTGAGTTGGCAAAACGTGGCGGCCATTTTAATGCAAATTAGGCACAGGATATTTAAATCCCTGCCTCATTTGCAATGTCAACCTGCCTAATCTGCATCCTCTGCCGACAGAGGGATGCAGTCTAGACATACCCATGCAGTATTAATGGGTCATGTTGGAATAGGCTTCCTGCTCACTGCTATGCACCGATTAAAAACAAAGCATATGGCAGTGGCTCTCTAGAAGTTATTTACTTATTTAAGGTCAGTTTATAATAGTTTTTTAAAAATAATTGGACTTTATTTTAATGTGTATATAAAGTCCAAATATATATACTAAACTACTGTTCTAAATTGGTGGGGGGTTTTAATTTTGAGTACAAATGATCGATCTAGTATGGTACACACTCACATGATGTTTAGTATTATGTTTCAAACACTGCGAGAATCTTTTGTTTAAGAAAAACAAATAAATACTTTTCCTGGAATTTTAAAAACATAACTTACACTGGTAAGTTTGTAAAATTTGTTTTTTACAAACTTAAATTTTAATCCAAAATGTCCAATTGATGGTGTTCTGAAACACTAAAGACTTGTTCACTAGGTCAGCATGCTATTCTGTCCAGAAACAACTGAACTGGTTTTAAAGCTTTTACTTGCTGCTTTCACTTTTAAAAATAGTTTATTTTTATGAATGCAGGATTACAACACAACTCCAGAGGATGCTCGTGCTGTGTGACTTTCCAAAAGTTCTGTATGAAAAGTTCATTAGTTTTTTCCAGGCTATTACGCTTCCTTGTCACTGCTATGCCTTCTCAAATAGGTATGTTCTTGCTTTTATAGATGATATATTGTTACTCAACGGACTTTCATACATTTAAGTGTGAAAGGGAATATTTGTACATTATTTCTAGTCTATTGTTTTACATTCTAGTCTACAATCTAATCTATTTTAGTATAAACTTAAAAAACAACAAATGGTCTAACACTTTATAGACTAACAAAACATATAGATAGTATTATGAGTTTTCGTGGGCACAGCCCACTTCTTCAGATGACCTGAGTTTTGAGTTTAGGATGTGCAGATCCAAAATAAATAGGGGAGAAGGCGGAGGGAGGGGGGGGGAAAACAAGGAGCAGAAGGTATGAAAATATCAAAGGGAAGAACAAGTAGGCATATAACTGTTAACCTGTAAGCACCTTAAGATTGGATAGTTAAGTAGCTGAAGCAAAATGCAGGACAATGTAGCACTTTAAAGACTAACAAGATGGTTTATTAGATGATGAGCTTTCGTGGGCCAGACCCACTTCCTCAGATCAAATAATGGAAGAAAACAGTCACATAGGATAGCAGTTAGATAGGAAGGGTACTAAGGCAAGAATCTACGCAGACAAAGAGCTGTTGACACCTTCATTTGAATGTTAGGTTGATAATGTCCCAGCCATCTGTTATCTGTATAGACTGTGACCTGTGACCAACAACTTGAACTCTTGAAATTTGTCCAGAGACTAAACCTGGCATGTGGCTTAATAGAAACTAGTTATAGTTAACCTCCTAAGTATTCTTTTAATGGCAGCCTGGGAAATTAGAAGCTTAAAACAGCAGGGCTACATCAGGCTTTCTTTTATTTGCCTTTAGAAATCACTGCAAGAAATAGTCAGAAATTGTTTGTAATGAAGACTGCAATCATTCACTATATCTCATAAGACACATTGTCTCAAAACAGTGACTGGCAAGTACTCTGCTATTTCCAAACAAAATTGCTGACATTTTGTGGTAAAATCTACATGGGGTCATGTGTGTGTGGCTTCTGGACATTCTAAATTGGAACTGTCAGCACTCGGGTGGCAAACAGTCATTTTTAGACATAACGGTTGTATAGTCTAGTTTCTAAGATGTTTATTTTAATGAACTCAAGATTTAGTGAGTCAAATAGACTGTGAAACTTGGTAAGAGGAATTAGTCTGGCACGATCGATACAGACTCTGTAGCAACCCAATCATTGTACGCAAATATACATTCCGACACAATTTTCTTTAACATAATTTTCTTCTAAAAACTAATTGTCCTAAATACCGGGAAAGTATTGCACTGAAGTCTGCCATTAACAGATTTACTGCCAGTAGATCACTACTTGATGCTGATGCTTGTACAGCAGTGGGAAACCTAGGCTAGCAAGTGTGCTGAATGAATGGCCTCCTTCATATCCGAAGGCTGCAAGATTGTTGTAACCAAAGACAGTTTCCCAGGCTAGGGAAGTTTTCCTAACTGTGCTTGCGGAATGAAAATTTGCAGGTTGTGCCGATTGAACCGTAGCAGCGCGTTGATTGGATGCAGAGGGAGCACACGGCTCTCGCAGTCCATGTTGTGTGCAATCAGCACGCGCCTCACTTCATGAGCCCTTGCTTTAAAATACATGTCAGTAGGGTAAAAACGACACCGATGGAAACCAGCGGAATCTGGCAACCTGGCCCAGTAAAAACGACACCGATGGAAACCAGTGGAATCTGGCAATCTTGCCCGTGGCAACAGCAAACAAAATGTCTCGTGAGCCACACACACAATTCCAGTTGCCTACCACTGTGCTAATAGCTTCATTCTGCAGCCATGACTAACATATGAGCCACGGAGTTCACTTTCTGAAGGGAGTGAGAATCTTTGGAAATGTTACAGCAGTCTGTGTTGCACCAAGCCTTGTTGTTGTATTTGCACTGATATGGGTGTCTGCCCTGCAATGTGAATTGTTATAGCACTTTGCAATAGATTTTTGGAAAAAAATATCATTTTCACTTTTAATTTTCAGCCTAAATGTAGTGCCATGGGATCATGGATTACTAACAACTGTCTTAAAAGGCCAGAACATCACTGGTCAAAGAACACAGAAAGGGAAGAAAGTGTTTCTGTGGGAAGTACTTCCTGTCATACAGGCTCGAGTAGAAAAAATGGAAAACCAGCAACAGTAAGTTCTTATCTATCATTTCAGGACTTCCATGCTGCATCATATCAGCTTTGTGTAGTCTTTCAAAGCTTGAAAATTGCTGCTGCTCTATTTAAAAAAAAAAGGTAAAGATTGATGACTGGCATAGCTTGTAGTGAGTTTCAGCCTCCTGTGGCAACTTACAAATGTATTAGTGCATAAGCTTTCCTGGGTCATATGGGTAAAGTGGAAACTTCTGTTTGGCAGGGATATATGATGGTTCGATGTCTGGTTAGTGGTTGGTGTCAAGCGGAGTGTGCCAGGGGTCTGTTCTGAGGCCGGTTTTGTTCCTCATCTTGGATGAGGGGATAGATTGCACCCTCATCAAGTTCACAGATGACACTAAGCTCGGGGAAGAGGTAGATACGATAGAGGGTAGGAACAGGGACCAGAGTGACTTAGACAAATTGAAGGATTGGGCCCAAAGAAATCTGATGAGGTTCAACAAGGACAAGTGCAAAGTCCTGCACTTGGGGTGGAAGAATCCCAAGCATTGTTACAGGCTGGGGACCGACTGGCTAGGGAGCAGTTTGTCAGAAAAAGACCTGGGGATTCCAGTGGATGAGAAGCTGGATATGAGTTAACGGTGTGCTCTTGTAGCCAAGAAGGCTAACGGCATTTTAGGGTGCTTTAGGAGTAGTATTGGCAGCAGATCTAGATGTGATAATTCCCCTTTATTCAGCACTGGTGAGACCACACCTGGACTATTCTGTGTAATTCTGGGCCTCCCATTACAGAAAGGATGTGGATGCACTGGCAAAAGTCCAGTGGAGGGCAATGAAAATTTTGAGGGGGCTGAAGCACATGGCTTTTGAGGAGAGGCTGAGGGATTTGGGCTTGTTCAATCTGCAGAAGAGAAGAGTGAATGGGGGAGGGGGATTTGATAGCAGCCTTCAACTACCTGAAGGGGGGTTTGAAAGACGATGGAGAGAAGCTGTTCGGTGGGGACAGATGGCAGAGCAAGGAGCAATGGTCTCAAGTTGCAGTGGGGGAGGTCTAGGTTGGATATTAGGAAAAACTATTTCCCTAGGAGGGTGGTGAAGCGCTGGGATGGGTTCCCTAGGGAGGTGATGGAGTCTCCATCGCTAGAGGTTTTTAAGTCCCAGCTTGACAAAGCCCTGGCTGGGGTGATTGAGTTGGGATTGATCCTGCTTTGGGCAGGGGGTTGGACCCAGTGACTCCCGAGGTCTCTTCCAACCCTAAGATTGTATGATAAACATGCAAAGATAAGACTGTTACATTACTACGGGGAGGACACTGCTAAATGGGTAATTCAATCAGGATTAGTGTGGACCACTCCAAACAGTTGATGAGAATACCAGAAGGGGAGAATTACTTTTTGTACTGAGCCAGCCACTCCCACTGATTGTGACCTCTGCCTCTACTCACCTGTAAAATGGGGATAATACCAATCTCCCAAGGGAGTAGAGAGATTCTTGAGCTGATTCCTTTTAAACCCATAAGTAGTGATGTTAACTACCTTTTTGGTTTTGTCTCTGAAAGTTCTTACAATATTGATAACCTTAATAGGTCTGTGAACATAGAGTTAATAGGTTTGGAACCCGTGCAAAATAACTCTGTCAAACTGTGTTGAAGGAGAAATTGTCTTGCTGGGTAAATTGCTATATGTACTGACGATACCTTTTGTAAAGGTTAGATCCTTTAATAGCAGCTGCCGTCGGGGATAGAATGGAAGCATTTTCCAATTAAATGTTAATTGGGTTCATTCAAAACTTTGTATCCATTTTTGTAGGAGAATTATGTTCCTCTTTTATATTTCTATCCACTTTGAATGTTAAGGGCAGTTCAAGGTATTTGATATTTATGGATCTTATGAACAAATCTTCCTGATTAAAGCAGGGATGGGCAGTAGTTTTTGCCCGGGAGCCACTTCAAAAAATTTTGAAGTAGTCCTGGGCCACCCCAGAAGGGGCAGAGCCTGAACAGGAAGGGGTGGGTCCTGAACAGGAAGGGGCGGGGCTGACCCACCCCCAGATCATGATTGGTCTGAGGGTGTGGGAGCCCCTTTTTCCCCCTCTTCCCACTAGGCACCCATGCCCTGGAAGAGGCTTGGCACGCTCCCCCACCCCCAGGCCAATCAGGGTCTGGGGGCGGGGGAGTGCGGGAAGCCTCTCGCCCTGCAAAGAGCACTTGGAAGTGCCGTGAGCTCCTCGCAGGGCTGGGGCAGGGTGAAGGAAGCTCACACAGATCCTGATTGGCCTGGGGGCGGTGGAGCATGCGGTGCTTCAAAGCGCCACGTGCTGCTGGCAGAGCAGGAAGAGGCTTCCCTCCCCCAGGCCAATGAAAGCCTGGGGGCAGGGGAGCGCGGGAAGCCTTCTCTGCTCTGCCCCCACCATGTGCTGCTCTCAGGGCGGGGGCAGAGCGGAGAAAGCTTCGGGTGCAGCAGGGCCTCTGTGGGCTGGATCCACCCGCTCGGCAGGCCGGATTCAGCCCACGGAGGCCCTTTTGCCCACCCTAGCATTAAAGGAAGACCCGAGTGGTTTGGAGCAATGAGTCAGGCCTCTCATCTGATATCCCACCATAGCATTTCCTACCAGACCCCACATTGTAACCCTCATTGTCTGGGATCTCTGCTCATGATTTCTTCCTTCTGGAATTTGTTCCACTGGGAAGCCCATGGGGGGAGCATAACGTAGGTGCTGTTGAAACTACAACAGACACACACAATGTGCATTCCCATGTTTCAGCTTATTTTCTGGTTTTCAGTGGTTGCTGCATGGGGAATAGCCTTAGCACTAATCAAATCATGTTAGCCCCATGTACTTTGTATACCATGGCAACCATGAAAGATCAAATAGAAGACCAGGACTGAAGGTTCATGTAGGGGACATGTATAATTTCTGTTGCTTTCATTTTATTCAACACTTCATGGTAGAGGGAGAGAGAAGGCAAATTCCTATTGATTACACAGTGACATATTTCTAGATTTAAACATCGAATATCTCTGTAATGGTGGGGAAAGGGGTTTGTTTTTGTTTTTTAAAGCCCAGGGAGTTCTGTTGTTTTGGGGGTTTGTTTGTTTTTTCTGTAGGTAAATGTCTTCTACATGGGAGTACTTGCTTTGTCTCACTAATTCTCATTGGTATTCTTGATGAATCTGTTCCCCATTTAATGCCTACTTTTTTTTCTCTTTTCCTCACTTCCTTAGCTATAAGGAAATAGTTCGCTACTTGAAAGCTGTGAAATGCAATGACAGTCAAGGGTAAGTGGATTTTTTTTTTTTTAGTTTTTAATCTTTGCTTTAAAATTTCCCTATGTTTGTCTAATCTTCAGTAAAATCACACCTTGAAAAGGAATGATTCTGGTTGACAACCTTTTGTAGTTGAAGAGCACAATGTTGCATCTCTAGCAAATATTAGCTGGTAAACGTAGTTGGATCCAGTTTTGATTTTTTTTTTAATAACACTTGTGGGCCTGGCTTGACATGCATATTTAAGCATATGAGGAGGTATGTTTCTTGCAAGACCAAGTTAGGAAGGTTAATAGACCAACATTCTGAAAAATGATTCCGTGAACGCTCCTAGCAATACACACTGTTGTAGGTAAAAAAATAAATAAATAAAACAAATTTATTAACTACAGAAAGATGGTGATAAAAAGCGAGCAATGAGCAATACAAATCAAAGCAGATACTGTGCTTAAGAAATAAAGCACAGTCTAAGATCTATAAACTAGGCACGATATGAATCAAGAAGTGTCTCACCCTGTGTGATAATATAGTCCATCAAGCTTCTCTATGCAGGCAAGCTTTCTTCTTTCCTACCTGGGACCTTCCTTCAGAAATCGGAGCAGGTCCAGAGAAGAGCAACAAAAATGATGAAAGGTCTAGAAAACATGAGCTATGAGGCAAGGCTGAAGGAATTGGGCTTGTTTAGTTTGGAAAGGAGAAGACCAAGAGGGGACATGATACCAGTTTTCAGGTATCTACAAGGGTGTCACAAGGAGAAGGAAAAATTGTTCTCCTTGGCCTCTGAGGACAGGATAAGTAGCAAGGGGCTTAAACTACAGCAAGGGAGATTTAGGTTGGACATTAGGAAATACTTCCTGCCTGTCAGGGTGTTTAAACACTGGAGTAAATTGCCCAGGGAGGTTGTGGAATCTCCATCTCTGGAGATTAAGTGCAGGTTAGACAGACATCTGTCAGGGATGATCTAGATGGTTGGTCCTGCGGTGAGGGCAGGGGACTGGAATCGATGACCTCTTGCGGTCCCTTCCAGTTCTAGCATTCTGTGATTCTTACTCAGTTCAGTCTTTGTCCTTCACTGTGGTGGTGTGCTGTAGGGGAAGTGAGGCCAAGTGATGTCACTTTCCCCTTTATAACTTTTTATGTAAGGGGAACTTTGTCGTCCCAAGCAAAGCCCCCAGTACAGTTTGTGGAAAAGTATAGGTGTCAAAATGGAGTCCAATATCCCCTGATTTAGTTACATGCCCTTGCATTGCTTTGAGTGACGGCAGCCATTACCTACATTTTTGCTACACAGGAAAGCTTATTAGTGAGGCTAACCTTTTCCTGTGGCCCATTGTTTTCATTGATGGGCCATTGTCTTAAATACTTCATTCACAATATATTGGTTATACTGGATGAAAACTACTTTATGGGAGTTACCTAGGAGCAAACACATTTGAAATGCAGATGTAGTCTATATTTGGAACGCCAGACACAAAAATGATACACACCTACAAATAGGATAATCATATTCAGCAAACCATAACTTATCTATTGATACCTCACATGACCTGTTTTTGTACAAGTTGCATCACAACTATGTTATAGTAAAAATCATTATCGCTGTGGTAAATATGGGGGGCAGTGTGGCACAGGAGCAGCCAGGGAACTATTTAGAAAGAGCAAAATAACAATGAACAAGATAAGTCAGGACTGGAAAGAGAAAGTTGAACATGAACCGTGCCTGGGCAAACTATGCTGTACAGAGATTGATTCCTACAAAGTAACCAAGCCAATCCTAAAATATGTAATGCAATTTATAGTAAACGTAACAAAATCTGTAAATGTACATAGTGGAAGAGGGTATCTCAGTAATCTTAGACCATCTCTCCACTTGCGGGAGGATCGGTGCTGTGGTGGTCAATCTTCTGGCATTTGGTTTTAGCAGGTCTAGTAAAGACTCTCTAATTAAATGCTGAAGGCACCCCCGTCGGTGCTAGTACTCCTCCTCCTCACAAGGAGCATGGGAAGTCGATGGGAGCGTTTCTCCTGTCGTCCTCCTAAAGCTTGACTTAAGGTACATTGACTCTAGCTACATTTTTTACGTAGCTGGAATTGAGTCAACTCAATGTAGCATTGCTGTATGATAAAGACACCAGAGTGACAAAATCTGTAGTTAAACTGAGTTCTTGGGAAGTCAAGTGGAAAGAGGTCTCAAAGGAAATTCCAATAATGCATCCATGTTAACGGAATCCACAAAAATCAAATCTGCAATCCTTTCTTGTATCCAGGTTAAGAAAGCTTAGAGATAAAATCCCATTCTACTTGTGCAAAAGTGGAGACTTCGTTAGTGCTGTACATTCATTGTTGCTTCCCTTCAATAACCTTGCATGCTGTACTGCCTGCCGGATAACCCCTTTCCAGTTTGAGATCTACCTAAAGATGTTCAGAACTGGCAGTGTTCCCTCGGGAAATAATTTTCATGATGCTGGAGAATGGACTTCAGTTGGCAAGTATTATTCATTGACGTGCTTCTTGCTTCTATCCACTTGGTAGCCCACTTAACTATGTACCACCCTAGGCATCAATTTGGATTAAATCTAATAACAGAAGATTTATGGGACTTTAAACTCAGCCATAAATTATCTGGGTTAAAGCACAGTACATAAGTGAGAGTCGGGAACAGCCGTTTTAAGTTTTAGTCTCAAGCGGAAACAACTTTGTTGGTTTATCATACTCTGACTTGCACAAATGCATACCCTTGTGATTCGGCTCCTTTCTTTGTTTTTTTCCCTAGAGGACTGCTTTGTTACAAAGTGCTGAGTATCAAACCTTTTTGTAAACCTCATTGTAAACGCAACAGCACGCGTATGTGCCCCACACTGTCACAATGTGTCAGCTGTGACCTCGAGCAAACTATTGACTGGATCATGCAGATGCTGAGGTCATTTCACCAAAGGCATTTGCTCAAGGTCATGGCTGAAACATCAGGCATCATTAGAGGTTTTCTGCTGCGATGAGTCTGGTATCCGGACTTGCCCCACAGGAACTAGTCTGATACCATAATCTTATTTCACACACCCCTACTCAATAGCTATTAGTTGGTGATATTTGTAGGCGCATGGGCTATTTAACACAATAGTCATGTATTATAAACATTCAGTACCTGATGAGAGGATTATTCCATGTGATGTGTTTTAGTACCTTACACTAATTCTATTTTTATTGCTTGAACCTGATGAGAGGATTATTCCATGTGATATGTTTTAGTACTTTACACTAATTCTATTTTAATTGCTTGTACATATTCCCAAGGACTTTGGGGGAGCATATTATAAACTGATGATTGGGACCTAGAATTGTGACGTGAAATACTATTAAGCAATATGGACAGTTCTCATTTTCATCCCCTCTTTGTTTTACTGGTATTTAACTACGTGTTGGGAGGTGATTTAGTGACGAAGGTCATGGCAATCACAGATTCCATGACTTTACCAGACCTCCTTGACTTATTTGCTTCAGGCTGTCAGGTTCCTTGTTTCCCCGCCCCCCCCCATCCCACCCCCAGTTATTTTTAGTAAAGTCACAGATGAGTGACGGGCTCCTCTGTGAAGTTTTGTATATTGCCTGTGACCAGTCCATAACTAAATAACCATGACAAAATCTTAACCTTAAATATGTATTAGATTTAAACACAGTAACATTTTATCTCCTGTTTTTTTAAAATTTGCACTTAGAATGAACACAACTATCAGGTTTAAGGAGTTGTCTTCTTTTTGCCTCCTCTAGGTACTCCTTTGAAGATCTCCGTTCTAATTAAGCATGCATTCAAACTCCTTTACTGCAATCTGTCATTATACAGGAATGTGAGTGTTTTGTATTAATCTTATGCTTCTGTTGGAGTTTCTATACACTTCTATTCCATACAGCCAGTGTTTGTCTAATACAGGACTATAGTGTGGAACAGCGTTTTTTTTTTTCCTGACGTGATGCTAGATTTTCCCCCAAATTTTAATACCGTACTTATGTTTTTCGAAACATTTGCAAAAACATCATCCTTTCAATACTTTGGCAGACATTAGCTCCTTTCCACAACTGGGGAAACTGAGGCAAAGGAGGAGAGCTGTCATTTATCCAAGACCTTATATTAATCAATGTCAGACATGAGGGTAACTGGCCGTAATCCTGAGATCAGTCTGTCAGAGGTACAAAAGGCTTCATTGACAAAGTGGAGAGCAGAGTGAAGCTGTAAAAGCAAGTTGGTACAAAGGGTTGGTTGATTAAACTAGACCCTTGTTAGATAAGTTTTGTCAGATGTCCTGTTAAACTGGTAGTCCAGTTGTCAGTGAGTTGACATGAAAGAAGACGAAATTCTGTTGGTGGCTATGTAAGGGAGGAGGCAGGGTAGTAAGGAAAAATTCTGCCAGAAAGTAAGGAAGGTTTGCTTTCATCCTTTGCCATAGACAATGAAGTCAGTGAAGGAAGAACAGAGGTTTAGTTTAAAGAATGTGTCATTACGGCAGTGGAGGTACTGTGGGGAGAGGGAGGTGCTTTCAGAGAAAGGACGGTGGTGGAAGTCTGGCATACAAAACAAACTTAAAGAAGAGTTTGAGGAAATGCGATAGGGAGAGCATTTAAAAATGCATACCCATAGGCTAAAGAAGGCAGTTGCTGAGGTAAGAATGGAGGCTGAAAAGGAATTGCACAGAAAGATGTTAGCAGGAAATTGGATTTTGGGCTGATGAAAGAGAAACAGTGAAACAAAAGATGAAGAACTCTTTTGTGTGAAGGATGGGAGCGATGTGGCAACTAATGGCAGACGTGGAAAAAATACTTCTGAAGGCCATTAAATGAGAAGTGAGTTGTGAATGCAAGACTGCTGACAACTATGGGAAAGTGTCGACAGGTACGGCTCTCTATAGAGGAGGCAGAAGAAACACTGAATAACATGAAGGATGGTATAGTAGCTGGTGAAGATGAGAACTGCTATGATCTATTCTAGGCAATTGGAAGTACTGGAGCTAAGTGGCTTCACTGTGTGTTCGCTGGGCTTGTGCAAAGAGACCAAATGACTGGAGAACAGTCTTGGTTGTGCCTCAACGGGAGGGTCAGAGTAAAGTCAATGATTCAAACTAGGGCATCACCAACTAGGGCATCACCATGTTGAGTCAGCCATTTAAAGGGTTTCAGTGGCAAGGTGAGGGAAAATATAGAAGACCACCAACATGGCTTTAGGAAGGGTAGGAGTAGTATAAATGCAGTATTTGCAGTGACATAGTCAATTGAAAGAATGATAAATGGAGGGCATTACTGCTGTGTAGCCATCATTAATCTTGAGACAGCTATGACTTGGTACAGTGCGAGCTGGTGTTTGGCGTATGGAGATGAATGGTAAGGGGTCTGGAGATGATAGAGCAGCTGTATTTAGGGTCAGGCGCTTAGCTGATGACACTGAAATTTGGGAGAGTTTTGAAGTGACAGTGGGCTTGAGGGAAAGCGGTGTGCTGAATCCACTTCTCTTCATCCTGTGGGCCCCTATTTGAAGATCATGGTTTGAGGGTAAACACAAAGACAACTGTGGAAGGAAGATGAAAGAAGAGCTTTTGGCTGACATTTCAGGAGAGAAGCCAAATCAAAAAAGGGTGTGTGCCTGTGAAGTATGCTTAATGACATCAAGAACGATCACAAACTGAAAAGAAGAACCCAGTGTATGTGGACAGCATGAGGACTGGGGGGACAGGCAATCAGGTACCAAATTTGAAAGGAGGAGTCTGTGCTGGGGGTTGGGCCAGGATTCCCCCTGTATGTATGGTTTGGAAAGAGAGGATCTTATGGGGATAGAAGAAAACATGATGCAGGTGGTAGAAAATAGTATATTGAGAAGATTGGCCAGCAAGTGGAGGGTAGACAGTGTGCTGGAAGAAATTAGGGGAAAATGATTTTGGGACTCTGAGGGTGTGTCTAGACTACATGCCTCCGTCGACGGAGGCATGTAGATTAGACAGATCGGCAGAGGGAAATGAAGCCGCGATTTAAATAATCATGGCTTCATTTAAATTGAAATGGCTGCCCTGATCTACCGATCAGCTGTTTGTCGGCAGAGTGGGTCAGTCTAGACGTTCCCCTGTCGACAGAAAACCTTTTTGTCAACCGCCCTGTTATGCCTCGTGGGATGAGGTTTACCGGGGCGGTCGACAAAAGGGTTTTCTGTCAACAGGGGAGCGTCTAGACTGACCCACTCTACCGACAAACAGCTGATCGGCAGAGCGGGGCAGCCATTTAAATTTAAACGAAGCCGCAATTATTTAAATCGCGGCTTCATTTCCCTCTGCCGATCTGTCTAATCTACATGCCTCCGTCGACGGAGGCATGTAGTCTGGACACACCCTGATAGACTGGAAAGTGCACATTGAGGTGGGCTGGACATGTGATGAGAATGACCACCAGGTAATACACGGGTGAAAGAGGACAGCAAAAACGAACATGGAAGACTGAGGATGCGCTGGAAAGACTGTTAAGAGAAGTTGGAAGAGGAAAAAGAATGGAACTCCAGGACTTATGAACCTGAGCCATGGGCTGGAATGAGTAGCGAAGAGTTGCAAGCACTCTGACCCTGTGTAAAAGGGAAAAGCAATCCAAGCAAAGTGACTTTTAAATAATTTGGCCACTTTTACCGTAGTGTCCTGACCGAGAGCAAAGCAAATAAAACTTATGTTTGAATACTCAGTGTATTAAAGAATATAATCACTGATGGGCAGATCTTCAGCTGGTATAAGTTGTCATTGGTCCATGGCATTGACTTTAGTAGAGCTGTAACAGTTGCACTAGCTGAAGATCTGCCCCAACTCCTTTTGTTTTAGTTTTACATGTAAACAGAAGTGATAGTTGTGAGGGAGCAGCCTTTGTTTCAGGGGATTGTGTGTCTATTACCTGAGAGGGGAAAAGACATGCCCTGTACACTCCAAGGTATAACTCTGGGCCGGGGCCAGCACAGTGAGTGACAGTATGTCTTGGGCACACTGACGCTTCTTGCTGATAGGCCAGATGTTACCATTTTCCTGTCAGTTCTACAGACACATGCAGGAAGAAACCCCTCCGTTCTGTCTCATTCGCTCTGGTTTTCTGATAAGTAAAGTGTTTGCACAGATTCTGAAATGTGTACCTTGCCAGAGACCCTTTTTTCTCCCAAATATTACGTACTTTTATATTTACTTGAAAACCTCATCATGTTTGCCTTGTTCCAACTTTTTTTAGATTTAAAGACTAATTCAGCAAACTTCACAAAAGTCAGTGGTTTTGTTAATTGAAGGTCTTTGCTGTGTTTTAGGCCAAATGTTGGAGCACCCTAATCTTGATTTTGGGTAGTAGCACCACTCTCGAGAAAACTGGGCATCTTTTTGCTGTCTCATTGAAAGAGCCACCGCCTGACTTCCAAGAGGTAACTGACACCTTTTGCATGGTTGTAATTTCTTCTGTTTGGGGATGAACTCATTTTGGAGTCTTGGGAGTGGATGCCCATTATTTTCCACCATCAGTTTAATTTGGCACATGCCAAAAGAACATTTTGCTTGCCAAGTCTTAACTTTTTCATATGGAAATGTCGACCTATGTTGGCCTTCCTCCAGTAAGCTATTTGTGTCCTATCTGGTAAATGCATAGGCGTTAGTTAATTCACCATTAGAGAGACAAGGTGGGGAAGGTAATATCTGTTGTTGTACTGGCTTATGTTGGCAGGAAACACGTGCTTTTGAGCTTACACAGGTCTGAAGAAGAGCTCAAAAGCTTCTCACCAATAGAATTAATCCAATAAAAGATATTACCTTATCCACATTGTCTGTCTAATATCCAGGGACCAATATGGCTGGGGGAAGGGATAGCTCAGTGGTTTGAGCATTGGCTTGCTAAACCCAGGGTTGTGAGTTCAATCCTTGAGGAGGCCATTTGGGGCAAAAATCCATCAGGGACAGAACTTGGTCCTGCTGTGAGGGCAGGGGACTGGACTCAATGACCTTTCAGGGTCCCTTCCAGCTCTAGGAGATAGGCAATCTCTATTCATTATTATTATTATTATGGCTATAACATTTAATTCACTATGGCAGTGAACTATTCTTGCTATTGAACATTTGGTGCTGATTCCAGATCTTTTTAGCTTTGAAGCACACTGGATAATAATAAAACCAATAGGGAAGGAGGGAGGGATTTAGTCTTCTCTGTTAAAGAAGATGCTTTAGGGATAACACACGGTCAACATTTATGTAACAGAATATTTTCTAAACACAGTGACCCTAAAGCAGGTCTAGTAATACAAGCACATTCTGGGGGACTGCTGAGGATGGACCATACAACTGCCCATTCCTGATATAATTACACAAGTTACCTCATAGTGATCAGAACTGGGACTGAAAACATGAAAGAACCGTATGCCAGATCATTAAGTTTTGGACACGGTGTGACATTTGTTGAGTACTTGAGCACGTGGCTCTGCTTGTGACTGTCGTAACTTCCTGTTGCAGATGGTGGTATCCTTATCGTCCGTTCTTTTAAATGAACTGAAGACAAAAGTCAACGTTTCTCTGCCACCAAAGGTGTTTGCTGCGCCTGTAAGTATGTAATGATTAATGGGGGAGGTGGCTGTTTTGAATAGTGGACTTTTGAGAGAGAATAAAAAATCTTTTGGAAGTAGCACATGAATTCCTTTATTCCTAAGTCTGCCCACTTTGTGACCTTGGATAACTATCTCCTCTCTCTTCTAGGGATGTAAGTGGCTAGTTGACTACCCGATACGCATATACGTATCAGGTAGTCAAGTAGTGACTTGACTAGTCTCTCTCCCCCTTGCTGCCTTTATCAAAGAGAGGTAGCAAGTGTGGGGGAGCAGGAGCTGGTGCTGGGGGGAGCCAGCTTAAAAGTCAGTTCCACCCAGCACCGTCACAGGCGGCAGGGGAGGCGGCGGTGTAGTGGGGGGATCGGGTGCGAGCCAGGAATCAGCTCGTGCCTGGTTGCCCCGCTACACCTCTGCCTTTTAAATGTATTTAAGAGGCAGAGCTTCAGTGGGGTTAGCTCCTGGGGCCAAGAATTAACCCTTCCGTGGCTCTGCAGTTTCCCCCCTTATCGACTAATCAAGTAGTCCATGGAACTTCCATCAGCTACTCGATTAGCTGATTAAATGTAACTTAACATCCCTACTGTCCCCAATTTTACCCATATATAAAAGGGGATAAATCGATTTCAATTTCTGTATTCGGCTTTCTTGGCCGCAAAGGTTAGAGTGGCTTGAATCCAAGTGGAGATTGAGAAATGGTTGCCTCAGCAGAAGGCAACTTCTGCTGTTTCCTATCTTTAGGAATAGTTTTGGCAGAAAAATGTGGGAATCTCTGTTTTGACCATGAATTTAAGCATAGTGGGCTGTCTTCAAACTAGCTGATCCAAAGTTAGAGCCAGTGGCTGCAGCTTACGTTAACGTCAACGTTTGGCTGGGAACCAATCCCATCCTGTTGCCTTTAATGTTAATGGGATTTAGGCGTTAGCAACAGGCAGGTCACTTACTGAGCCCGAGCACTCTCCTTTGGAAGAAAGGCCCCCACTGCAGGCGCTCTTGCAGGGCTGCAGCCAGGGAAGGTACGTCCTAGTGCTTGCTTCTCTAGCTAAAGCGACGAGGAGTCCTGTGGCACCTTATAGACTAACTGAAGTGTAGGAGCATAAGCTTTCGTGGGCAAAGACCCACTTCGTCAGATGCATGTAGTGGAAATTTCCAGAGACAGGAATAAATATGCAGGCCAGGATCAGGCTGGAGATGACCAGGTGGATCCAATCAAGGAGGATGAGGCCCACTTCTAGCAGCTGATCTGGAGGTGTGAATTCCAAGAGAGCAGAAGCTGCTTTTGTAGTTAGCAAGCCATTCACAGTCTTTGTTTAATCCAGAGTTGATTGTGTCAAACTTAAAGATGTGATCCTGGCCTGCATATTTATTCCTGCCTCTGGAAATTTCCATATCATGCATCTGACGAAGTGGGTCTTTGCCCACGAAAGCTTATGCTCCTACACTTCAGTTAGTCTATAAGGTGCCACAGGACTCCTCGTCGCTTTTGCAGATTCAGACTAACACGGCTACCCCTCGGATACTTGCTTCTCTAGCTATTGCCCCATAAACCTTCCTTCCGCTCTGCTGGCTGCTGGAGAAGGCAACTCTTTGATGGCAACTGATGGGTTGGTAATAAGCAAAATCTACTCTAGGTGGAAAGCCTGGCTGTCTGTACTTTAATAATTGAAACCAGAGAGCCGTGTATGGCACCGTGTCTCCTCACGTAGTGTTGTCCTGGTTTCATTCTTATATTGCTCCCTTATGTCGCTTGGCTGCCTGCTTTGTCCACTAGGGGCAGGACTTTCTGGAATAGCATCCCGTCCTTGTCAGGGTTTGGAACCAGAGTGGGCTGGCAACCTCCCATCAGCTCCCTTAAGTTTCCTGTAAGACAGGGGTGGGCGAAAGGGCCTTCGCGGGCCCCCCCCCGCCACCCCTAGGCCAATGAGGGTCTGTGGGTGGAGAAGCACAGCAGTGTCCTGGCCCTGCCCTTCCGCCTCAGGCCCGGCCAGTTGTGGGGCGGCCTAGGACCACTTCAAAAATTTCCCCTGCTGTAAGAGATGGGGCTAGGCAGCTCCACCCTCATTCCCCCACCGTGCTGCTCCTGCTGTCTGCCTTGGAGCAGCTCCATGGAGCCCCCTGCTTGCTGCACAGAGGAGGGGGGTGCTGATGTCAGGATGTTCTCCCTTCTCCCCTGTCAAGCCCCCCACTTTCTACCTCATCTCCACAAAGCAGGATGTCAGAACTCCAGAGTTCTGTTGTCCTGACTTTCTAGTTTACTTAAAAGGGCAGGTCAATATATTTAAAGGGGCAATGCACACCTGCCTGCCTGTGTCTCATGCATGCACATGCACACCCCTTAGCACTCTGCAGCTGTGCGCATTGTCCGGAGAAGTGTGTGGTACACACTAGAGGGTAGTGTGAGTTCATCATCATGTTCAGTTTCTGCAAGAACGTGTTTGCAGCGTGTCTGGTTTTTTCCTCCCTGCCTCAGTCCATGCTGCTTCTAGATTGTGAGGCTACATTAACAACATATTAACCCTTGAGGGCTCAGCTCTCAGTGGGGAATATTCCATCCTCTGACCCTACTATCTTAACCAAGCTTCACAATCATCGTTGCTATGTACAGTATTAAGTGGTTTAAAACTTACAGTGTGTGTGTGCGCGCTGCCTTTTGTCTGCTGAAAAAAAAAAAAAGTTCCCTAGAACTTAACCTTCTCCCTCCCTCCTCCATTTATATGAATTCTTATGGGGAAATTGGATTCGCTTAACATCCTCTTGCTTAAAGTAGCATTTTTCACAAACACATGAGGGCTATGTCTACACTGGCACCCTTTTCCGGAAATGCTTAAAACGGAACAGTTTTCCATTATAAGTATTTCCGGAAAAAGCGCGTCTACATTGGCAGGATGCTTTTCCGGAAAAGCACTTTTTCCGGAAAAGCGTGTCTACATTGGCCAAGGACGCTTTTCCGGAAAAAAGTCCCAATCGTCATTTTCGCGATCGGGGCTTTTTTGCGGAAAAGACTACCGTGCTGTCTACACTGGCCCTTTTCCGGAACCGGTTTTCCAGAAAAGAACTTTTGCCCAAACGGGAGCAGCATAGTTTTTCCGGAAAAACACTGACAATTTTACAGTAGACCGTCAGTGCTTTTCCAGAAAAGCAAGCGGCTAGTGTAGACAGCTGGCAAGTTATTCCGGAAAAGCAGCCGCTTTTCCGGAATAAGCGGCCCAGTGTAGACACAGCCGAGGTGTTCCCGTGCCTGACTTGTTGAAAGGGAGCATGATGAAAGTTATCTGTAATTAGCATTTGTTCATTTGCCTAGGCCAATTGATTAACACTGCTCCTTTTCTATGAGGAAATCATGTTGAGCTTCTTTCCTAATTGCATAACTCTAATGTCAAGATTTCCATGTAACAACATTGGTCCAACTTAACAGTGGTGTTATGAGCCTTCATGATGAAGGCACTCACAGGATCTTTTGGTAAAAGGTACCACAAAAGTGCAAAGCATTCTGTTCTCCCTTCCCATGTACAAGTCTTTCTCCCAATCCCTAGTTCTTTTCTGTCGTGACTTTGGTAACCATCTACTCTCCTGTCAGTCTGTCCAGAAAGTTCTTGGCAGACTCAGTTAGTACTGATTTTGCTCAGCGTGAACCAGCAGGAGAGCCCGCCCCTCGGTTCAATGACCCCTGTGCAAAGACAACGTGAGACACCACGAGATCAGAATGACAGGGATTTATACCTGACGTGAGCAGCTGTAAACGACAACACCCAGCACAAAACCGTGGAGAATCTGGCCTTAAATATTTATTAACCTCTTTTTTGATTCCTTCAGTTACAGCTTGAGGCAAGTCTTATTCTCACAGTGCAAGCAGTGCAGCAGATGCTCCAGAACGACCTCTCGTACTTGAGTTCCTTTCTAGAAATAACACTAGCTTTCGGGGTAAGTCCTAGGAATCTTGAACTCTAGTAAACTGAAGCCAGTGATTCTTAAAATGCAATTAACAGCCTATTGAATTCTAGGCACGTTTTATCACAGTTTATATTTTATTTTCTTTATATTTAAACTTTACCGGTTTATTTTTTTCAGGGATTTCTAATGAAATGAGGTACTGTAGCATAGAATTCCTTCACTAATGTATTCCTCCTTTACCTACTAGAATAACTTCTGGGCTCTGAGGCTATTATTAAATGGCCTTTGCTATGAAGAACACATTCTCCATGGCACTGTTAGCTTGCTTCTGAGGGATCTGAATTTTCAGAAGATGACTTTGTTGAACCTGTGAGTAAACATTTTGTTTGAGGTCTGATTGTTTTGTCTGTGTGGAAAAACAAAATGCCAAGGTTATGGGGTTCCCTTCCTCTCTCCTGCCTCCCAAGATGCAACTGCTGGTTGAACCTCTCTAATCTGGCACCCTCAGGACTGAGCCAGAGAATTTGCCAAACCGTGGGCGATCAATATTGTCCAGCAGCATCACCAACACTTCCACTGCTTACTGAGCTCTTAGAAGACATTTAGAGGTAAATTAGACCTAAGGAACAGCTCTGAGAGCCAGAACTGTGGGAAACTTTATGGGGCTCTGGGAAATTTGGCCATACCCATGGTAAGTGGACATCTGGCTAACCAAAATCATGCTGTACTACGGATGCTACCGGACTAGAGAGGTTCAGCCTGTAGTCTGTGTTTGGGGTAGTGGGTTTGTCTTGTTTTTTTATCGACAACCAGCTAAGACATGGCCAAACTTGTTTTTCAAAAGCTACTCTAAAGACTAGAACCTGCGCAGATTTAAAAAACTATACATCTGTGGAGTTGCAGGGCTCTAGCAACAAGATCAGAACTTGAAGGGGTTAAAAAAAGAACTAGATCAATTCTTGGAGGTTAGGTCCATCAATACTTATTAGCCAGGCTGGGTAGGAATGGTGTCCCTAGCCTCTATTTTTCAGAGGCTGGAAATGGGTGACAGGAGAGGGATCGCTCGCTGATTACTTGTTCTTTTCACTCCCTCTGGGACAGGATACTGGACTAGCTGGATCTTTGGTCTGACCCAGTCTGGTCATTCTTATGTAACAATGAGACCAGGTATATCAGCCAGTAAGCCTGGCGCCCAGCTGAATCGGCAGCTATACATTTTGTATTTCATAGAATCATAGAATACTAGGACTGGAAGGGACCTCGAGAGGTCATCGAGTCCAGCCCCCCGCCCTCAAGGCAGGACCAAATACTCTCTAGACCATCCCTGATAGACATTTATCTAACCTACTCTTAAATATCTCCAGAGATGAGGATTCCACAACCATGGTGGGCAATTTATTCCAGTGTTTCACCACCCTGACAGGAACTTTTTCCTAATGTCCAACCTAAACCTCCCTTGCTGCAGTTTAAGCCCGTTGCTTCTCGGTCTATCCTCAGAGGCCAAGATGAACCAGTTTCCTCCCTCCTCCTTAGGACACCCTTTTAGATACCTGAAAACTGCTATCATATCCCCCCTCAATCTTCTCTTTTCTAAACTAAACAAGCCCAGTTCTTTCAGCCTCCCTTCATAGGTCATGTTCTCTAGACCTTTCATCATTCTTTTTGCTCTACTAAAGCATTGCCAAGTGACTTATCATCCAGGATGTGTGTTCTTCCATTAGATATGGGGGGTTGCGGGTTTCGCTAAGTGGTTTTCAAGTATGAGGAAGTATTATAAGACTGGGGAAAAAATGTATTCCAGACAGTGGCAATTAGGGATGTGATCGTGTAGTCAATTAACCAATAAGCAAAAGCTTATAGCTTAATGCTATAGACTACATGCTCCCCCCAGCCCTCCGCCACCAGTAAATTTTTTGGCAGGCTGGCCAGCAGCCTGGCTCAGTCCTGGCTTGTAATTGGTCCAGGACCTACCCCCGCTATAGCTTCGCGTTTAAAGTGCATTAGGCGGCAGACAGCCCAGCTCAGTTCTGGCTCGTGCTGGATCCTGAAGCTTAGACACTCCTCCCTCTCCCCCGCCTGGACAGGGGTTGCTGCCTTCCTGCTCTGCTTCCTCTGTATCAGAGGCAGCAGCGCAGGGCGACAGGCAGCTGGTCCTCAAGGGGAGCTGGTTTTTAAACTGGTTCCCCTTGCAGACCAGCTCCTGCCTGGCGTCCTGCGCTGCTGCCCCTGATAGAAAAGCAGCAGTGCAGAGTGGCAGGAGGCAAGATGGGCATGGGGCTGGAGCACACTGACTGCTGGTCCTGCCCCTGGGGACTATAGATTGGTCGAGTAACCAATAAGAATTGATGAAGTTACTTGACTATTCAATTAACTGATATTTAACATCCCTAATGGCAGTATGAGATTCCGGCAAGGACTCTACATTCTACTGGCTCTGCAGTTGAGCCACATTACACAATAGACTCCCCTTTCCATGGTGAGCTGACTTTGATCGAAGACAGGAAATAGTCTACAAAACAAGCTGGCCACATTAGAGATGCTGCCACCTCAGTTTTTAGATTTTAGTATCAGTGTCATCACCTGCTGCTCTCATTTTCTTTCCTGATCAGGTGGAAAAAACTTGGTCCTCAGTATGTGGGTGAAATGCTCTGCCTTTACCTGACTTGCAGACATAAAAAGATACAGTCCGTTGGCCTCCTCATCATCCGTATCATTAGCGAGAACCTATATATGTAAGTATGAACATTGAGTGAAACCTCAGACTCACTGTAGCAAGGCAAATCACACTGAGTTGCTTGTAAGTCCATTAACATTCACACAGACTTGTTAGGGATTTTTTTTTCAAGTTTTTATCCTTGCTTTTACAGCCAGTAATGAGATTCAGTATTTGGTGGGTTTAAAACTGTCAATGTTTTAGTGACAAACCCTGTTACCTGATTAAAAACCCCTCTAGCTTTCTTGCATTCCCACAGGCATCTGTCATCAAAGAAGTCTGTAGCCTGTTTTTGGGAGCATGGACAATGGCTAAAATAATATTCGCTAGTTTTCTATTTGTCTTGGGGAAACAGCTGGGTGTTTCTTCCACTAGTTGGCATCTCACTCATGCTGTGTAGAAGCCATTATGAAGAGCTACATAAACCCAAGAAGAGTTTATTAATCACATTATTTGGTTCCTAAGAAGACTTAATGCTGCACAAAGGTGTGGTTAACATAATACACAGTCTTCCTTAAAACATAGCTGGAAACCTGTTCCTCACATCGCATAGCTGTCTCTCTTGTACCACACCTGAAAAAAGTCTTCAGTGCAGTGGTAATGTCTTTGGTCTCAATTTTAAGGTACTTTCCAACTTGCGGCGGAGTAGATGGAAACATTTTAAAAATGGCCCAAACTTGGAAATTCTGAGTTTTTTGTTTGAGAAACACAAATATGGTGTTTCCGAATCAGAACATGCACAGCTGCTATTCAGCAGTGAAACTGACAAGCACCATGTCAGTTTCAGTTAGCAGCTTCCAAGGTCTGTGGCCAGGGACCCAGGACTGCCATGTTCCTAAGCCAGCTGACTCCTTGCACTGCTTGACACTATCAGAGAAGCTAGTTTCCCAGGCTATGGGACAGAGTCATGCAAACTGTGAAGCTAACTGGTCCTGTGCAGAAGACATGGAATCCCTGCCCAGGGGCAATGTCTATGGAGCTATGGACCCTGGAAGGCCATCTAGCCTTTAATGAACAGTGATGGTCACGAATAGCAACAGGAAAGGGTTTCTAAAATAGTCATCCTTTTAGAATACCATTATTGCTATGAATGCTTCAGATGTGTTACAGAAAGGAAGTGGTTTCGCAGGTAAGAGTAAGCCTTGTTTGGTATGTTTGCAGTATTTTATTTCTAGGTTCTGTAGTAAAATATTCAGGGTTTTAGATTGTGGACTTTTTTTGGCCTTTTCATACCAGACAGTAAGAACTAAATAATCCTAATACAATGTAGCCAAATGTTTGTGATTTAGGAGATTCAGGCAATTGTCTGCTCCAGATTTTTTTTATTCTTAATTCACGTGCAAAACATATAGCAGATGGCTGCAGTGTAATGTTCTGATTGCACTTCCCATAATCTTGTTCTGAGATGAAAATCAGGGGCACTTCGGTTACTGGCTTCTTAGAGAGGTTCTCATTTGCTTTGTTTCCACTTGACATTGCACAAGGGTTTGGGTGACTGATCACTACCTGACAGCCTGATGATGTTTGTCTGGATACATCCTTTTTTGCCGAGCTTCCTATATTTATGTATTCGATGTTGTCAGCTGGCAGAGGAGTTTATGTAGCAATTTTTTAATGTGCCTCATCATGTGCTCAAGTTCAAAGTTCTCCTCAGATGTCAAGATGACCAGTGGTGACCTCTCCCACATTTGGGAATTGAAACTTGAGCATTTGACTAGCAAGTGTAACAAAGTATTGGGAATGTCTCATTCAGAGGGTAACTTTCCACTAATTATAAAGTAGCTAACATAAGGACAACATCTCTACCTATCTGGAAAGTGGATTAAGACTCTAAATCTGTTTTCAGGTGTCCATGGGCAAAGCATCTTTGGAGCTTTCTGAATACAGTAAGTGTCTGCCTCAGGTTGCTGGCCCTCACAGTGGCTCCCAAATATCAACTTTGTTGTGTCACATTACATTCTCTGTAAGCAAATTGAAGAAAACATACTTGATATAGTATACTTAGATTGAAACTAGCACCAATACTAAGGAATTTGTGGGTCTCAATAAATCTTGGAAACCTTAGAAGGTTTCCTGTCCATCTTTCTTTCCATGGATTGGATTTACGGCTATTGGTTCTAATGCTGGAAGAATTTCCTTGGGCTACAGGGTGTCAGTGAATCGCATTTCCTAGTGCTTGATCAGAACTGCGTTACAAACCAGGATAGATGGACTGTTTTCTTCTTTGCTGAACGAATACAGCATTGTTAATTTACATAGTGCCATCTGTCTACAGCATGAAGCACACTGAACCTTTTTCTGAGAGCACTAGGAGACGGAACAGTCTCCCAAAGCAGACTGGAAAGGAACAGAAAGCATACTGAATGATAAAGCTTACTACCTTTCTTGTTAGTGATGGACTTTTTTTGTTGGGATTTCTAAAAAGCTTGTAGAGAAAGATAGTCCTGGTCTCCTCTAGCTGAACACATCTCTCAAGGGAGTCCCAACATTGTAGGTCTTTCTGAAGAAGTAATCGCGAGGGAAGAGAGCAACATGGACTGTGAGGGGAGAGGGCTGGATAGGCAGCCACAGAGTTGTGAGAGAGAGAATGGCACAAAGAGAATAGTTAATCCAGCAGATAGTCAGGGATCCTGGGAGGGAGATACTTTGGGAGATGTAAGGCTGGCTATCTACCCGCATGGCTTTTTATAGAATTAAAAAAGAAAACACTGGTCTTTAATAAAAACTACTAATCAACCTCTTCTCTGTGCAGGAATTAAGGAGGCTGCCTCTTGGCACCACAACTGATCACGAAGTTGCCAAGTTCATAGATGTTTTGGAAAAAATGTAGCTCTTCGAGGTTCTCAAGACCTCGCTGACAGGCCACGAGCCACCTCCCACTCACCAGCCTTTTGTTATTCTCCCTGCCAAAGAACTGATTTTGCAAACAAATTTGTAAAAACCCCATGCAAGCCTAAACTTAGGTGTTGAATGGAGGAGATGCTTGAGCCAAAAGATGCTAAACACTTGCTTGATGGCGCGTGCTCTAGCAGTTCTTTGCAATCTGGCTTTTCTAGAATATAAATGAACATGCTTACTGGGCTGCTTATGGAAGTGCGGGGAAAGCAACAGATATAGTCTGTGCCATGAAACATGCACGCTGATCTGTGAAATCAGCAGCAGAGGACTTGCTGAGGGAGCAGACAGCTCCTGGAGAACAGAAACTTTTATTCATGGTCCTGCAAAAGTTTGATAATAGTGTGTGTCCTCTGGAATCCCTCTTGTATGTAGCATCAAATTATGTATATGAACCACTTGTTTTAGATTTTCTCCATTTTCCTGGATTTCTCCAATCCCAAGTGCTCATACAGAAACTTGAAATGGTTCTAATGCTGTAAATTAATAGTTTGTAAAGAGAAATTTTAACTTTCAGGTTTGTCAGTATGAGTTCCATTTTTTTTTATGTTGCAGTTCATGGCCACTTGACTGGTGCTAACACCTCAGGGTTACTTGAATTGCTGTCATAATTGTAGTTTAAACAGTTGACTTTAAAACTGGGATGTAGAACTAGAGAAATGTAATCAGGGACAGCCAAGCATGTGAGTGAAGAGGAAGAAATTTTGGCATGTCCATGTATTTTATTTTGCACATTTAAGACTTCCTATGGCTTTTCCTGCCTATTCGTGTCAAGTTTGGCTACAGTATTTTCTTTACAAAAACATTTTTATACAAGATTTGTCACTTCTTTAAAAGTGAATGTATCTAAACCCTTTTATAAAATGTTTAAAAAATCATAAGTATTGTCGTGCTCTCTTCTGGTGTGCATTTGCTTACTTCAAATAAAATTTACAGTAGGTATTAGGCTGGGCAGAATTTTATTTTTTATTCTTTCACTAAGTATCATTTTTTAAAAACATTTGTATTTGAATTTTAACTGTTGCAGGAAATTATGGGGCATGGCTCACACAAGAGCAGATATTGACATTCAAAAAGCTAACTTTATGAATAGTTAAAACACGCACAGTCAGCAGAACATGTCAAAATATACAAAGTATCCTTGATTCAAACCCTTGAGCTCTCAAGAAGCATTTCTTACTTTGCCTGCCAGTTTCAGTTGTGGATGGAAGTATTTTTTCATCACTGTGTGTGCAGTGAAATGGTTGTTTACTGACACATCTCATCCTTCCAAGATTACTTAATTGCCTGTTTCTTTATTAGAAGCCGTCTTTATTCAACTTTCCCTTTTCTCCAATGCATCTGGATCCTGGCCTGCAATAAACAATTTCCAGTGCTGGAGGTCTGCAAGAGAGACTGTCCGTCGGGGGTCTTAGTCAGTCTACATTCTTACAACTTATAAAACCTACCACTAAATTCAGAGCTGTGGGGAAGGAGTCCTCACACCTCATTAAGTCCTAACTCACCGGATTACATGTATATTCTCCCAGAGATTACTCGGCCTTGCTTGGGTCCTTAACCACAATGGTGGTTTATGTTCCAAAACAAAAACCAAAAAATGTACGTGCTTGCTTCATTTAAATCACTGCTTGGGAACAAGGGGTTCAGTATGTAGGCTACCCTGGGGAGAGGACTAATGGGGGTGCAGGAGTACGTCTCTCACTTAAATGAACCCTGGCTGTCAAACCCTGCTACTCTTATGGCCTCAAACTGAATCCCCCCTAACTGCAAAACCTCTGGGTCATTCATTACCGAAAGAGTCCTGCCACGCGAAGAGGGCCTTCGCGCCTAGTAACACACGATGGGATTTACTGATCACCCCAGTTAAGTCTGCTGGTTGCCTTCCTCACAGTCTCTAAGGACGTTGTTATCCCACTCTTGGAAGTCCTCAAACAAAATGCTTCGACTGCATCTCAAACAAAATTGCGCCTGTTCTGTCGGTCCGTGCCATTGGCAGTCTGCACTGCAGAAGCAAATAGAAAGTCTTTGGAGCTGGGGTGTATGGCTGGAGGATGTATTTCCTCAGATGCATGGGGACTGAATAAATCATCAAAAGGAGAACAAGGATCCTTGAATTTTAATGAGTAAATAGCATGGCTATTCATTATTTATCTCGTTTTGCATTTTAATGAGTTGCAGTGATGATGAGCCGAGTTCTTCAGTGGATTATGCTACAGATAATGGTGTAATCTGTGTATGAAGCATGGACTTTCTTTGAAGACCAGTGTTTCATCTTACACCAGCAGAGCTGTTAAGCCAACTTTGGATTGGCATAAAAAGTAGAAAAACTTCTTCCCAGCCTTCCTGGAAGACCAACATTGAGAGACTCCCAAAAGCTTAAGTCCAGTGGTCCACGTAGGGTATCGGGTTGAAGCCCAATCAACTTTAATGTAGATGTAATCAAGATAAGCAGAGTTTAGTTTCAGAGATAGAAAGTTCAATCCGATCAAAACCTGTTACATTTTTTGCAGATATTTCTCTGATCCAAATTTCCCAGGTACCCAAATTCAGTTGGTCCTTTAACAGACACCCCTGTATTGGCATAAAAGTGCAAACATGTCTGTGAAGTCATAGTTCATCTGAAAATTAGCTCCACTCTAATACAGAGAGTCAAGGAAGTGACACTGTAATTGGAGCTGAAGATGGTGGAGGAGCATTGAACCTTGGCATGTCAAGAAACCTGTTTCCAAATTCCGCACCCTTGTGCATGGATGCCTAACAAATGACTAACCTCACAGGGCAAAAGAATTTGTCTTGTGACTAGCACAAGAGTCAAGTGAGAAACCAGGGTTCTGTTCCTGCCTTTGCCTCTGTTTTTTTTCATCAGTTCCAGGCTGGTGCTTCCAGACGTCGCCTGGCTAGTGAGGATAAAGTTATTCGTGGTTGTAAAATTGAGCTGACCTGCTTAAAACCACTATGCACATAGAAACTATTCTTCCTGAGCATCCTGGTAAGGGAGTGGGAGCTTCGGAAATACGTGCAATATTAATTACTGCTCAGCCGCCGGAGATCTTTGGTGGTAGAGGGAAGGGTATCTTCCTTAGGTGTAAATATTTAGGGATTATGAAGTGTTAATGAATCATTTCAGCTGGAATGGGCTTTTGGAAGTGTTAACTACTTATGCTAAACAACCTTTCACCCTGCATTAGGCTAGAACACCCCCCTCCCGAGTACATTTCCCAATCTGAAGATGCTGTGTAAGCTCAAATGAGTGTCTTTCTCACCAGCAGAAGTTGGTAGGTCCAGGAAACATTTTACTTCACCCATTTTGTGTGTCTACTCGTCTCACCCTGCCTGTCAATTCCTAGGTAACGATCCCTAGGCTTTGCAACTGGAGCTTAACTTTGGCCTGTGCCGGCGACGGACAGAAGAATGAATAGTAAACTGTACAATCCCAACAGCTGTTCTTACTCCCTGATAGGGATTCTTCCCAAATCCATTGTCAAACAGGTTCTGTGACCAATAGCAGGGTTTAGCATGTATCTGAGTGCTGTTTGGGGGCAACTCAATTTCTGTTTTGCAGTGTAACTAATTGACCATTCATTATCAGTGGGAAATAGGTCAATGGAGGGATGATAGGAATTACTACTATGTATGGGATGGTGTCTGCTGATGAGTCTTGCCCACATGCTCAGGGTTTAGCTGATCGCCATATTTGGGGTCGGGAAGGAATTTTCCTCCAGGTAGATTGGCAGAGGCCCTGGAGGTTTTTCGCCTTCCTCTGTAGCATGGGGCACAGGTCACAGCTGGAGGATTCTCTGTATCTTGGGGTCTTTAAACTATTTGAAGGCTTCAATATCTGAGATATTGGTGAGAGGATTATTCCAGGAGGGGGTGGGTGAGATTCTGTGGCCTGCATTGTGCAGGGGGTCAGACTAGATGATCATAATGGTCCCTTCTGACCTTAAAAGTCTATGATGCTGTGAAATCCATTGCCAGAGGACAAGCCACTCCGAAGAAGAGTCGATGAAAGGTTGAAGAACAAAGCGTATCTGAAGCATCGACAGCTCCTTTCTTAGGGTGCCTCCAGACTGCACCGTAGGTCGAAAGAAGATACGCCATTTGAGCCACGCAAATGGCGTTTCATTTCAATGTTACTTTGCACTGGCTTATTTCGATATTTGGCGCTGTCTACACAGCACTTCTTTTGAAATAAAGTGCTATTCCAACACGCCCCTTACCCTTCGTGGAACAAGGTTTACAGGGACATCAGACTAGCGAGCCCGTTATATTTTGAAATAACGGATGCACTCAAAGGACACAATAACTATTTCGGGATACCTCCATACCCCAAAATAGCGCTGTAATGTAGACATAGCCAACATGTGTAATAAGAGGAGGGCCTGAAATGTAAGTCCGCAAATCCACAGGTTGGATGAGGCTTGAGGTTTAGACAACAATGGTCAAGATTTTGCTAACACCAAGCAAAGCGAAGCTGTGAGTGAGAGGCAGGCCCTTGTCCCACAACTCGTAAAAGGCACAGGCTGCACACGCATTCCGGAGAGACGGTAACGACATCGTTAGGAGACATCTTGGTATCCACACACTCAGGGTGCATCTACAGAGCGCCCTAAACTCGAAATGTTTAGTGTTGCACAAATCTCTGTGTAAGGCGGTGGTTCTCAAAGTGCGGCTCCGCCACCATCTTGCAGGTGGGATGCGGGGTTGAGGCTTGTCTACACTGGCGCTCCAGCCCCACAGCCTTCCGCCTCCCCTCCCCCGGCAAGGAGGGAGCACCAGTGTCAACTTCCTGGCTGGGGTAACAGCAGCGCAGGAAACGGTTTGCCTGAAGGCTTTCCCCACTGCTCCCATTGGCTGGAATCAAGGCCAATGGGAACAGTGGGGGGTGGTGCCTGAGTGTGGCGGGAGGCACAGAGTGCTCCCCATCTCCCTCATGCCTGGACCCCGGACCCTCACCCCCCTCATGCCCCAAGCCCTCCCCCCACCACCACCGCACTCCACCATCCCTCCCACCCAGCCCTCACCCTCAGTCCTGCCCCTTGCCTTCCCAGCCAGCCTCCCTCCTGCACCCATGTTGTCATCATGGGTGGCTGGCTGGGGTCTGCAGAAAGATTTGCCTTGAGCAGGGTGGGTTGTGGGCCCAAAAGTTTGAGACCACTCAAGTATGGTCATGCTCTAAGATGTTCAATGGGCAATCAACTGCCCAAGCAACATCAGAGCTGGCCGTGTGGTGCCCGATGCAGCCACCGGGGAAAGTCTCTCTGGCGTTTCCTGCAGCGCGATGCCTTTCAGCTGTCTCTGCTGAGCAGCGTAGGACAGTCACCCAGAAACTGCTTCTACCAAGGACACTAATTAACGTGCTCAATGAGATGATCCTTTCAGAGCCGGCACCAGAGAGCTCAAGTCTCTGAAATACCGTTCAAAAGAAACGTAATTAGCCGCCCGTTCCAAGGGCAGCGTCAGTGGCGACCTCCGCTTAATGAGGCTGGGCTTGATTTGTGGGTGTGTTGTGGGAGCTGGGGGAGGCGGGCTTGTTTCTGCAGAGCTGCCAGTGGCCTTCCGCTGCCTGGAGCGGTGTTCATCGGCTGCAGGGCCTAGCTGGCCTCCCCGGTCTCCGGCTCAGGGAGCAGACTTACGAAGCCCGAAAATGCTGAGGCCAGCAACCAGCTTGGCCCCCAGGAAACAGTCTTTCTTCTCCCCCCACGCCAGACACAGGGGGAAGAGTGAGAGCGAAGACGCCAGCCGGGGAATGGCAAGGCACTAGGCGTTCGGCAGCGTCCCTGCGTCTCTAGGCTCCGGAACCCCTTTAGAAACGCGCCACCGCCCTGAGCGTGCCACCGATGCTAGTGGCAGAAACCTGCTGGGTGTGGGGTCAGACTGGGGGTGGCGTGTGTGAAGGGGGGTGGACAGCCTTGCCTTCCCAAACGGCCAG